GTTCGAGGTTTAGTCCCATATATACGTATAGCTACTCGCAGTAATAATATACACTACATCCTGATTCGCGTCCGCTTCATGCCATCAATCGGTGGTTGGTCATAGGGCCGTCGATAAGTTTAAGGTATTTCGTGATTTCTTTCATATGTCAGTTTAATTAACCAATCACATTGCTAATAGTCACACGTGTCCAGAAATTCTCATAACGCACTGTCTGCCGAAGTGGATCTCGCTGTGTAACATACTCTATATTCAATTCAGCACACCTCATGTGTCCTTCAGCAGAAATTATGTGCGATTCAGCAATTATTATGTGGCTCTCAGCAATTCCTATGTGGTCCTCAGCAATTCTAATGTGGCAATATTTTATCCTCTATACCGCCGGGTACCACTTGTATGCCCCGGTGGAAGACGAGAAGACTTCGGCACCGCCTGCACCGGCAGCCGCAAGACCATCGCGGCCGTCCAAGCCTGGACGATCTGAAGGCAGCGTTGGAAGTAGCAGTGGACCTCCCCGGCGTGCTCCAGCCCCCGGGAAAGACAGCCCGAAGTACGAACGCAAGAAGGCGGCATGTCTCAAGTGCGGCAGCGAGAACCACAAGGTGGTAAACTGCCCTAAGTGCGCGCCTGGCGAATCCGGGCGCCTGCTCATGGATAAGTGGGAGAGCGCGCGAAACAAGAAGGTGACCAAGCTTCAAGGCAGCGCGAACAAGTCCCTCGGTCGCGAAGCCAAGATGGAAGGCATCGTGTCCGTCACGACGACCCTCCTCGACACCGGCTCCGACGTTACATTGGTAACAGACGGTGTCATGAAGTCCCTGGAGCGAGCCTGCGTGGAAGTCAAGGTGATTTCGCCGGAGCCATCCGTGATCCAGCCGTATGGCCAAGCACCTGCCCTCAAGGTCGACCGCCAAGTGCAGTTCAAGTTGGTCACCCTGGACACCCCCTGTGGACCTTTGGCCCTGCGTGGACTCAAGGCCTGGGTGGACTCTTTCTCCAACGCGGCAGAGCTCCTGATCAGCCGGGCTGTGATGGAACAGCTGGGCTTCTCTGAAGATGAGTTGCTCAGCCACGCCTATGCCAAGCAAGAAGTCTGGTATTTCTGCGACGTGGACAAGCCGTCTGCGATGGCAAGTGTCAGCCGCCTGACTCAAGTGGCCGCCTCAAGCGACGAGTGCGGTGAAAACGGCATGCACTGTGCCACCCCCAACATCCAAGTCCCATCTGCTGAACACGCAGAAGGCGAGCGGAACAGGCGGTGAGCGGTGGTTGAAGCGGTGATTCAAGTCAAGCTCCGTGCCGCCGAAGATAAAGGCTTGACCGCGGACCTCCTCGAGAAGCTGCGACTCCTCCTGACCAAGCACGGTGATGTATTCCGCCTGGAGATCGGCCATGACGATCCGATCAAGGCGGAGCCGCTGCGGGTGTGCATCAAGCCTGGCGCCGTCCCTGTCAAGTGTGGCCTGCGACGATACCCCCCCGCGCATGTGGAGCTCCTGAAGACACATGTGCGCGAGTTTGAAGCAGCGGGCCTGGTGTACCACAACAACCGCGCAACATGGGCCTCGGCGCCGCGCATCGTCCCCAAGAAAGACCCTGGCGACTTGCGCATGACCATCGACATCTGGCCCATCAATACGTGCACGGAGCCTATGCCATGGCCAATGCCGAACCTCGACGCCGCCCTGACTGTCTTAGTGGGCGCGCGGGCGTTCTCACCCTCGACTGGTTCAAGGGCTACTGGTAGCTGGCGCTCCATGAAGACTCCCAAATGTACTACTCCTTCATGACCCCTTTTGGAGTGTACACACCCACAAGAGTGCTTATGGGCCAGACCGACGAGGTGGCGTTCTGTCAGTCGGCGGTGGACTTCAGGTTTGCCGACCTACTGTTCAAAGGACTCTTAGCCTGGCTCGACGATATGATTGGCTACGCCGAGACCCCTGAAGACCTCCTCGACCAAGTCCTCACGATCTGCTCCTCCTTCGGCCTGAAGCTCAACCCGAAGAAATGCGACTTCTTCCTGACCAAGGCCGTCTGGTGCGGCAAAGTCGTTTCTACTGAAGGCGTCCAGCACTCCCCCACAAGAATCCAAGGACTGTGTACGCTCGCGCCGCCCACCACGGCCGCCGACCTCCAACAGTTCGTGTGCGCAACCAACTGGATGCGGTCCAGCATCCCCTGCTACACCGAGCTTGTGGCGCCGCTCCGCCAACTCCTCGACGCAGCGACCAAGCAAATTGGAAGTACAAAGAAGACGAAGCTCACACGCGTCCAACTCACTGCCGTTGACTGGAACGTTGGCCATCTGGCCTGCTTCGACAAGATCAAGGAAGCCCTCTTGGCGATGGTTCCCATGGCGCACCCACGGGCTGACATGATGGTCTGCCTTTACACCAACGCAAGTGAAGGCTTTTGGGGCCATCACCACTTCACGACCGCCTACTGTCCTTGGGCGAATGGAACCGTTGAAGTAGTCAACCGACTGATCCTCCGTGCCGTCAAGACGCTTACCAGCGAGTTGAAGCTGGTAAGCGTCTTGACGGCACGGAGGATCAGTCGGTTGACTGCTGCGCGCGACAGACTGGCACCTCATCCTGGCCCTGGTACAAGGCGCATTGAACCAAATGCCGAGCGACCAACTTAGCGGCATGGCCCCAGTGACCGCCTTTACTGGCCTGCCTGCGACGACGCCCCTGTCAGCGTTTGTCAACACCGTGACGAAAGAAGTCGCCAACATTGACTGGCTCGACTCCACGTGCAAGAAGCACATGGACGAGCTACATGAAGCGATGGAACAGCTGCGCCGCGAAGTGGCTGCGACAAGCTCCAAGAAGCGACGCCAAGCCCGCGACCGCCAAGCAAAGTTCAAGGCCGTCCAGTTGCTGAAGTTTGCGATCGATGACTTTGTCCTCGTTAGCCAAGTGTCCCGCCAAGGCAACAAGTTGTCCCTGCACTGGGGCGACCCAAGCAAGATCGTCCGGGTCGTGACTGACTATGTCCTGGAGACCCAGCAGTTGGTGCAGCCTTATGACTTGTCCCTCCACCACCCCTGCCGACTGAAGATGTATTGTGAAGGCGGCCGCGATGTGACCAAAGACCTGGCCGACCATATCGCATTTAGCAATGAAGGGTTCCATGTGGCCAAGCTCGGCGACGTCCGCAAAGAAAACGGCGAATACCAAGCCCTCGTCTGAAGACGAAGCCTCATGAGAGCCCGTGCGCTCCCTCTATGAAGACATCCCCATCGTTTTCCGCCGCTGGGTTCACCAACATGAAGACCAAGAAGAAGTGAAGAAAATGGCCGCGGAACTCGAGAAGATCCTCGGACACTCCCTTTAGGGGGAAGTGTTCTGCATGGCGCTGCAGAAAGACTTGAGAGCCTTTTTTACAAGTCGGCTCATGGTCTCATGATCGGTAAGGCTGTTAGTCTCCATTGTGTGCAGCAGGCCGCCATTCGTCGTGCGGTTGTAGCCATTGTCGTGCGGTTGAAAGATGTGCATTGTTGGCGCATTTTCATTGGACGAAATGATCCGACTTAAAATAGACCAGAAAAAGTAATTCGTAGTAAGAGACCTCAGGTTGCAATTTAATTCGGCCTCCGCAAGAGGTTCCCGTCTGGATAACGACGGGAGCGACAACAATGGACGACGCTTGGGAGATCCTAAGCACGAGTAACGGACCACACCAAACACCGGGGCCAAGACCGTACGTTAAACAAGACCATAATGAACACCCAACAAACATATTGCATTACTCCAGTATGTTGCTCCACCAGGTAGCTTAGGATCGTACTTTGCGATGGCAGTCCGGATCGCAATAGGTGCAACATTGTTGTCTTGCGCCGGTGTCCGCAACCGACGACTACCGTGTTCACAACGGTGACCTCGATGACACATCCAAAAGTAACTTCATTATCCAGTCCATCAGTCAGTTCCCTCCTATCACTTCACTACTCTCTACAAATCATGCATCGTACAGTGTACCATCAGCTCGGAACATATGCCGCTCCGATCCAGGTCATATTTCACACTCTTCAAATGTCGTTTGTGACCAACATTCGGCTACCCACACTCTGGCATGGGGAGTCGAACAGAGGCTCGGCCGATAACACTTCCCCCCCTATATTGGGTGGCCACATGCCCTCGTGAGATCGTCAATCATTTCGCTCACGCCGTCTTCGTTTCTCCGGGCCTTGGCCCAGCGTAGGAATAGCACGGAAACGTCTTCGTAGATCGATAGGGCCGGTTCCCAGGACGACTCCAGATCGTCTAGGCCAAGCCACTTGATCAGGATTTCCCAGACCCCATCTCGCAGACGCAGGTCCCGGAGGTCTTCCACGTAAAAACCTTAATCGCCGAACGCGATTTGGGCCTTCAAATCTTCAATGGCTTCACGTCCGCCCTCACAGTACAGGCCGAGCCGGCACGCATGGTGCAGGGACGTCGCTCCCGGAGGCACCAGCTGCTGGACTTCCATCAGGTAGTCGGAGGCCACCTTCACGACTCGGAAGGGTCCCTTCCAATGCAACGTTAGCTTTCCCGGATGCTGGAGAGCCCGGGCCACCAAGACAAAATCGCCGAGCTTAAATTTCGCCAGCTTTACGAATCGTTGACCATCACGACGATACTGGGCCTTAGCGCGCTTTGCTGCCGCCGTTTCTGCCACGTGCTTGTGCATAATTCCCAGAGCATCTGCGAGCTCTGTCACGTGGCGTATGGCCCGGGACTTAATCCAGTCGATCGTTACCTCCCGGGACTCGTCTGGGTGGACTAGTCCAGTGAGGGGAGGTGTAGCAAGCAGGCCCATAAACGCCGTCGTTGGCGCTACGTGGCATGCAGCGCTTCACCCCAGGGACGGGGTACCGACTCACCATCGACCACCCTACAATGCAGGCAGGCAGTGACGAAGTTCTTCACGTCGGTCTTCAGGGTAGGCCAATCAAACATCTCCGCAGCAGATGACATTGTCGCTTCCACTTTCCGGTGTCCCGCCACGCCGGCATGGGCCACCACACATATACGCACTTGCATATCCAATGCATCTCCCGGGATCCAGATCTTTCCAGCTGCCGTCAGAAAACATTTCTTCTCGGCGCTCCAGGAGGCGTATTTTTCACATGTCTGATGGCCGCGCTGCAATTCCGTGATCGCATTCGCCATCAGCCACACAAATTCTTCGTGCCGTAAGGGGGACACCAGGGCCAGTCTGGACATCCGGGCACTCCAGGTGGACTTCCCCAACGGCTCAGGAGGTCCGCCCACAGGTTCTCCTCTCCCGCCACACACTCCACGACGTACGGGAACGTCGTCATCGTCAACGCCCAGCGCTGGAGCTTGTGAGCCTGATACTTGGCCATGTTCGAGGTCGTCCCCAGGGGATTAAACATGTACACCAGATTCCGGTGGTCCGTAAACAATCGGAACCCTCCCGGACGGATCAGATACTCCAGGCGCTTGCACGATTCGACAACCGCAAACGCCTCCTTCTCCACAATCGGCCATCGCCCGCTCGCTCCCCGAACGATCCGCTCAGGAACGCCAATGCTTCATGTCGCTGATCGCTCGCCGGTAGGGCCAAATCCTCGACCGGGACCTGTGTCACAACAGCTCTGGGTCGGCCCCAAATCACACAAGCCCTGGATCCGTTCCGGGGCATGCGCCACGCCGTCCGCCGAAATCTCTTTCCCACACCATACGGTCCGGGTGGTGTAATACACACTTCCCAGGGTGCAACTTCAGTCCGTACGCGTGGCAGATCTCAAGCACTTTACGCAACAGGTGCATCAACTCGTCCGTAGTCTGGGCATACCCCAACAAATCATCCGACCATCTGAGCAGTCCGTGCATCAGGAGGTCCCCGAACATCTCATCGACCACCCCTTGGCAATAGGCCACCGCATCGGTCTGGCCCATCAGGACTCGGGTCGGGGTCACAACCCCTACGGGAGTCATGAAGGAGTAGTACTCCTGGGAGTCCGGGTGTAAAGACAGCTGCCAATACCCCTTCATCCAGTCCAGTTTGAAGTAGACTTTCGAGCCCTTCAGTACAACCATTGCCACCTCCAGATTCGGTATGGGCCAGGGCATTGGCTCGGTACACGCATTGATCGGTCTCGAGTCAATCGTCATTCTGAGGTCTCCCGGATCTTTCTTCGGGACAATCCTCGGGGCCGAGGCCCAGCGCGATCTAGTTTTGCGGTACACCAGACCCGCTTCTTCCAGCTCCCGGATATGCTTTTCCAGGAACGCCATATGGGTGGGAGGGTAGCGCCGAAGTCCCGACTTCACCGGCACAGCCCCTTCCTTGAGGCGCACCTTCAACGGTTCCACTTTTACCGGCGGGTCTCTCCCGAACTTCAGCCGGAACACGTCCCGAAACTCCATCAACAGGCCCCGGAGCTGCTCGACAGCTGCTGTTGTCATGCCCGCTGTAGCCGCCTTGACCACCTTGGCTTCCAGGACAATACGCACCGGACCGTCGTCGTCAGGTGCATTTCCCAGTTCTGGCGTTGCACACGCCATCCCTTCGTCGTCGTCGATACCGTCTGACAACTCTCCCATCCGCAGGGTACGGTACATCGCGACTCCTGGAGTCGTGATCAGCTGATCCCCAAAATCCCATACGGCTTGCTGCCGACGTGCATTTTCCAGCAACGTCTGCTCATTGTAGCCCAATTTCTGCATCACGGGCAGGCCCAGCGTAAGCTCAACGGGTGCTACGGCCTCGTCGACCCAGACCCGGAGCCCTCGCAACATCAGCGGCCCGCACGCGGCCTTGAATTCCAGGCTGCCCAGACGAACTTGTTTCGTCACAGTAATCACCTGGCTATCCGCCCCGTACGGTCGGAGTTCCATCGGACCCATGACCGTAATCTCCGGGGATGCTCCCGCAGCCAACAACGCAGAAACCAGGCCTCCAGAGGCCACCGACAAATCAGCTCCTGAGTCCAAGAGTGATGCCTGCACGGGGAGAACACCGTCCACAATAGCCGGGAGCTCAGGCCGTTTCGCGTCCGGGACAGTCGTCTTCACCGTCGCCACGCGGCCACCAGGTACTCCCGGGGCTCCTTTCTCGCCCCGACCACGTCCGAACGTACTTACATGTGCTCTTAGCAGTTGCTTGACCTTTTCAGGGGTGATCCCGGGACATTCCCGGACCCGATGGCTGATCGATTTACACTTCAGACAACCGTTGTTCGGTGCACCGTAGCCGGTGCGTTAGGAATAGGTGTCAGGGGCTTCGTGTCTCCCCTCGGGCCGGTGGATCCTCCCAGGACCTTCGACCCGGGCGGCTTCGGTAGGTCTGGTCTTGCAGGTGACTTCAACTCTTCTTCGTAACCCACAAAACGCTCGTGACCGATCGCATATTCCCGCAACCAGTGCACGAAACGGTACACATCCTTCTTCAAAGGCTTGTTTCGCGTCAACGCCATCTGCTCGGTAACAGCAAGGTGTAGTGACGCAGGCTTGACGGCGTCCGTGATGATATTCACGATCGCCTGGCTCTCTTCCCGGATCACCCACTCCTGGCGGCCCCGACGGATAGCCGCAGCCAAACCATCCAGCATACGTCCGATCCGGGAATCCGCGTCCGGGACCGACATATCAAAAACAACAGCAGATTTGATCCGCTTCTTCAGGGTGTCCAGGGCCAGGGGATTGACGTCGTAACCTTGCTTGAACCACGCAATCGGACAAGTCATCGGGATCTTTTCCCATTTCCCATTCGGCAATACGTTGCTTCGTCGCAGGTTCGATACACGCCCTCACGGGCATGATGAACAGTCGGACCCCGCTGGCAGTCAGTGCATTCGCCTGGCCGATATACAGATTTTACGCCGCCATAAAAACGCGTCGTTCTTCCTTAGTGGATCCCTTGAACGTCGGGTTCTTCGGGAGAGCCGGGGCGTTGTGCAGGTGCACGTTGTTCTGTCCCATATCCACATCTTCCTTCTCCGCTGTAGGTCCAGGAACCGTCCCAGATATGCCGCCCAATTCGGGAGCTGCAAACGTCACAGGTCTCCCGTAACTCCAGGCCTCACCAACCGCCACCGATTGTTGCCATTCTTGTGGTGACCGGAACAGCCGCCGCGTAGTCGCACTGGTCCTGTGACGGCCAAAGTACGGTGCACGGGCCGCAGGACTCGTCGAGCGATCCGACCGGGATCGAGCTCGGACAGAATCCCCGTGATCGCTACCAGGTAGCTCCACGTCCATGGCATGCTCGTTTCCTGTTCCAGGGCACTCTATGCGTTCAGTCGCTAGCGTGTCTGTAAGACAGCTAAAAAATTCTTTGTTGTCTTGTGCCTGTCCGCAACCGACGATTACCGTGTTCACAACGGTGGCCTCGATGACAAATCCAAAAGTAACTTCATTATCCAGTCAATCAGTCAGTTCCCTCCTATCACTTCACTACTCTCTACAGGTCATGCATCGTACAGTGTACCATCAGCTCGGAACATATGCCGCTCCGATCCAGGTCATATTTCACACTCTTCAAATGCCGTGCGTGAACAACACTCGGCTACCCACACTCTGGCACGGGGAGTCGAACAGAGACTCGGCTGATAACAAATAGTCGCCCCCACGCGGGACCAAAACTGCTCGGCCTTATGCCCGCTCCCCTTAGACCCATCTTGGGATATGGTCAACCACGAACAAACTAGAACAAACTAGCTGGTAGTCCTCGTCAGTGGTGAAGTTCGCACCCCACCCGTTGAGAGCCATTCCAGCAGTGTCAGTATTGGTATGGAAATAAATGTCCATGCTCAAATACATGCGTTTTATTGGTGGAAATATGCTGGTTTGTGGTTTATGATTGGCTCCGGTATTTTGCCGTCGGGTGGTCACAAAACGGTAAAAATGGCCGATTTGCCGTCTCGCGGTAAAAATATGCCGTTTCTGGTAGTTACCGTCTCACCGTTGGGTTGCCAATATCTGCATATTTGACCCCAAAAACGATAAAATAGCGTTTACCGTCGCACCATTGGGGATGCCCTTATAATGCACCCGATACACTTTATATACGACCGAACCACATCGGTAGGTCGCTCAAGGGGAAGCCTGGTTGTAGGCCTCTCCTCACGTTACCTACAGATAAGCACTCAGTAGCGTTGTCTACCTGTAGCTACATGTTTATGGTGTTGTTAATCATAATTTGAATCTGTCAGAATTTAGTGGCGGCATGAAAGGATGACATAACTTATATGCATTTGATTGTCGTCATCAGAGGCCTAAATGTACTTCGAAGTATATATTAGCGATCAAATGGTATTAGACCGGGTGTGCCACCCTGTGGGGTATGTAGACAACTTCCTAGGGGGAGTCGACAAGCATCCATGTTAGGCTCCGTATGACCAGTCGTAATGTCGTGAATGGTGGCTGTGGCCACTACTTTTCATGCGGATTTCGCCACTATGTTCAAATGCGCACTATCTTGCATATCTTGTCGTTGACCCACATTCTATCAACTTATATTCGCATAACTCCACAATACACACACTTCAACACAAAGGAGTCGTGGGGTATTCGTTGGAAGGAAGAATTACAGTGAACTACTGTATATTAGCTCAAAAGCATAGTGCGTATAGCTCAAGAGGATCCGTACCCGTATATAGTCGTTGGGTCCAGCAAAAGGGCGTTCCCGCGCACTGTAAACGCGCCTGCTGGAAGAGGAGGATGGTTTCTGTTCATGGCTACGTTAGTTGCTTGGCTCGACTGTGGGCATAAAGGTGTGGTAGGCGCCATGGAGTTATCTCTACATGCCTACTTGAGTTCTTGCATCCGTGGACGACTCTACGGCGCCAACCACCCAATTTACAGTTAATGCCAGCACTGTGCATACATGGCTATCGTACAGTAAACAACACCACGATACAGAAGAAATAGCAGCACAGCATGAAACTACACCATGTCGGTTTGGCATGGCATTGAAGCAATGCGGTGTCGTGAAAGGCACGAATATGTTTGTCAAGTGCTTGGGAAGCAGGTACAAAACAGTCCCGAATTGAGCCCGTTGAACGACCGTAATGCTTCCTCCGTTTCGACCCTACTTGTTTGTCGATTCTTGTGTCTACATTATTAGACGACGACAAACCCACACTGGTTTTCCACCATATAATGTTTTTTTATTACTCAAAACGGTATCGTAACCACCGTCACTTTAGCACGCCACCTGCGTTTGTTGCGTCAGCTCAACAACGTACGCAATGGAAAACTTGGTAAAGTCCGCGAC